TTAGAAGCAATACCGACTCGCCTAAGGTTCAAAGCCTTGTCGTCGCCGGTAAAGCCTTTTCTCGTGCAAGAATTCGAATCCTTCGTCAGACGGCCCTCTTACCTTTGAGTAACCGCATACCGTCCGCAGGCAGTCGCACAACGAAAAGAACTTGCAAGACACATGGCTATAGGCCATCTGAAACTACAAATGAATTATAGTTATGAAAACACCGTTACAAAATTAACGGTGAAATATTTATTTAAGTACTAATCTCTAATTTTATTTCAATCGATTTTATTTTCGTTTTTGTAAAAATAATAAATCTGCTTATAAATGTCATTATATATATTTAATTGAATATATTTCTGGATATAATTACGTTGTACTTAAAGCAAAAATTTATCGAAGTGATTATTCACTCGATTCGTTTTTTTAATATGTTTATTTGTTATTGATTTATATTAACATATCTTTTGCTCAAAATTGATGATATTCACCAATTTAAATTTTAATATTTAAAATCTTATCAATTCAAGCACGTATCGGAATTAATATTATATTTGATAAATAAATATTATTCAAGGAGCTCTTAATCAATTGCATTTACTGACGCATGCACTCTGCAATTTAACTTTTCGTAAAAGTTCGAGACGTGTATTCGTTTTACGTAATACTTTAGTCTCAGCTTTTCACTCAATTTCTCACCTTTCTCTCGACTAAATTATTTTCGCGCGTTCGCCTTTCTGAAGCTAACGCGAGTCGACGTAGCCCCTGTTCCTATTCTTTTTCCTTTCGCATATCTTGACGTCCGCAAAAGCGACGTGACGCGTCCCAGGTGAGAACATCAGCCGGGGAAAAAGAAACAGGCGAAGAATAAGGGACAAGGATGAAGGGTGTCCGGTACCGGGTAGGCGACATAACACGCGTGACTCGTCGAGAATCACGCAGCACGCGCAGGTACGCGGCTCGCGGCTAAATGAAATTTTAATAAAGCTGCGCCGGGAAGCCGCGCAGGGTGGAGGGACACGATCTTCACAATGGAACAATGGCTACGAAATCGTCCGAAGGCGTCGGCGCGCTTCTTCCGAAGCCGAGCCAGCCGCGATAATTATATCGAGGCGGCGGCACGGAATCTCGCCAGAAAAACTTGTCTTCGGCCCTTAAGGGACTGGAGGAGTCCCCAGAACGCCGCTCGCAGTCGCCTAACTAAAGGCGAATTTACACGGTTCGCTCCCGATGATTACCCCGGATGAATCATCCAAAATAAATTGGATGAACGCGTTTTTGTTCGAATGTATCGCGCTAAAAGTGGGCTACCCGATTCGCGGCCGATCCGACGCGGGCGTACGTTGGTTCTTAAAAACTTCAACGTGAGAAAGAATGAATCGACATCGGGGGTACTCCTCCCGTACAATTTGTGTGTGCAATAACTCAATTATATATCGTCTTTGAAGAGTAAACATACTGTGCGAATATGCATATAGACGCGTCAAGTTCGTACATCTCTCTCTCCACTATAAACTCTCAGTTCACGACTGTAAGCCGTCGGTTTCCTAAACTCTCGGCTCTCTGAGTTCTCAACTTCCAACTTTCGACTTTCCTCTCGCGTTTCATAATCCACAATTTCTCACGTCGAACACGCGGTACTCGCGATTTGTATCATTATTGCACGTGATCAGTCCGAATGCAATAAAGAGGATTAATTTTAAAATCGTTATATCGCGCGCGAAACACGGATTGCGTTAGACTAATTTGCTTCTACAAATCGAATCAAAAAGCGGAATAAAATTCCACAGCTTGCTTTATTTTGCATTATTTAACCTAGTTGATCGTCCAAACGGGCCAAAAACGGCCGACTCTTTTATTATTCAACAATTTTTTGTTTAACCCTTCTGTCAATGCATGAATACTCGAGTATGTATATTGAATTTTAAACAGTAAAAATTTTTATATTTTTGTGTGAATTTCGTTATGACTCCTCAAATTGCCACCCTATGAACGAAGAACAGTTTTGCACGGATTTATCTCATTTCCTTTTTTTACATTTTTAGCGGAAACTTTGTGAAATATGGAAGTGGTGAAAAATTATACATTGATGGAAGGGTTTAGTAATGGTTACTCGAGTCATTTTACTTTCCCTTTTCGAATGATTTTGATCAACATCGTCCGAAATTTACGTGTAAATTCGCCTTAAACTTTTGCCTTCGTTCTCGCCCTTTGTCTCCCTTGCGACCGGAGCTCGCAGTCGTCTCGGTTCGACGATCGTCGTCGCGAACGAGAAACTCGATCGGCGAGGGAAAAGGGCGAAGCAGGCGCGACGCCGCTGGTTTTTGTCGGCAACAGCCGTTTCTTTGTAAGACGATAGAATGGCATTCTAATATCGACATCGCGCAAGAAATCGGTGCGCCTGTGCAATAAAAAGACCCGATGGTATTCGGAACAAAAGCGACCGAGCGTGTTAGATAATTAGCAAAAATTTAAAGTCACCGCTATGATTATTCAGCATTTTCTGGTTATTCAGCGGTTATTTTCTTTAATATCAGAAATATGGGAGTAAAATGCTTAAAGCCCAAAGTCACACTATGCATTGGAAGTCGGGGGTTGCGGATTGAAGATCAGAATTCAGCCAATCAGGATGAAATGGATTAAAATTAAAATTAGCTAGTCGAATTCTAATCTCTAATTCGCAATCCTCAGTCTCCAGTGCGTACTGTGACACGGGCTTAAGTATAATCCGAATCCAAATAGAAATTAAAGTAAAGAGTTTGCGACTTCATAAGTTAGAAAGAGTGAATGTTTCATAAGTTTTATTATAAAATAAAACATAAAGTGACAAAAAAGTTTGGTTTCAAAGTTTTGTGATTATCAAATCATTAGTAACGTATATTTACAAAAACAAATTTTAAAGTGTCAGTTATATCTTATTGAATGTCAAAAATAATAATTTTCATTCAAAATGGCTACCTTTCGTTTTGATACAAGCTTTTAGGAACTTTAACAATTGCACTTATCTTTTTACAGATAAATTTTCTCAAGCAGCCAATAAAGCGGACTTCATTTCATCAATCGATGAAACTTTTCGATGCACCTTTTATATTATAATAAGATACAAGTAACTTCAGAGTTTGTGTTTTTAAATATACGTTACTATAAATAATTTTACAAACACAAAACTTTGTAACCAAACTTTTCTGTCACCCTCTGTACAATCAAGCCAAGTATACAAGTAACTATATATAGAAAAATTAAAAACTAATAATAAAAGTGTTTAATGGAATATCTTTCATGAGAGTTCATTATTTCATCGATCGTTATCACAATCCCCACCTGCTTTTTAAGTAAGGTAAAATATCAATTTTACTAAAACCCTAGTCGATATTACGTGACTTATCTGTTCAATCTCATTATCCGGATTTATGGTACAATGGAAGCGTATAAGTTCTTCAAAGCATCTTACCTTTCTAGAATCTCTAGTTGAGCATATCTTAAACATAATACGCAGTCTCGTAAAATAGCAGCTATAATAAGCTCGTGAATATTTTCATAGTGCACGATGTGTCGATAGTGCTGCCTTCCGGCTTTTTCTTCATGAGCGTTCCGTTGTATTAAGTTTTGCACGGTAATATATCTGTATAAACTTTTACAATATACGTAAAAGACTATACGTACGTGCGAATTTTATCCGACTAGAAAGATTTTCAATCAACGTGATAGATTAAGGCAAAGACCAAATGAATCATTCAATTAAAAAAAAAAATAAAAATAAAAATAAAAATCGGAGTGCGAGACAAACGTCCACGATGTAAATTAGAAAAAAAAATAGATAGTGAGCAGCAAACATTCTAGGCCACTATTACCTAGTCACTCAGCTCGCGAGAAAGAAAAGCCGTTGGTGCTATAATTTTCGTGATAGGTAATATGAGCTTTATGTACCAATTATCAAGAAGAACTTGACTTAAATGCCAAGTTAGCATTGCCAGGCTTTGTAGTATCAGGTCGTGCTAGTGAAAAACGGAGTGAATTAGCGAGGAAAGAAAAAAACATATGTGGCCGCGTGTCGCCGGCGGGCCGAGTAATAAATTCGTATTTCACGCGAGATCGCAAGAGCGTTGCCAGTTCTTGACGTCGGCTAACTGTAAATGCAAGTGGTCACGCATGGGAAAGCGTTTGTCGGTCCCACGATCGTCGTCGTTACGAGAATCGATTATTATTACAAGAGGTGTATCCAATTTCGCGTCATTCGCGCGCAAAACCAAGCGAGATGGCTGTAAAGGCGCGCGCGCTTGCGGATATTATCGGGCAAATTATGGTGCGGGGTCTATTCATTTACGTACGAAGTCAATGACCAATCAGTTGTTAACTGCTAACGGTAACGAGCCGGCACCGCGGATAAATTTGAAACGAGTAGGACAGGCTAACTACACACCGGTGATGCGTCTCCTGCACATTGGCCGGTGCTTGTCGATGAGCGCCTGGCTCGTTAGAGAAAAGGCCTGCCTTCCTCATTCGCACACGTCTAGAATTGAAAGATGACCCCCGCTGCAAGTGTCGATGGACCGCATTCATGTCATGATTCGTTAAGTAACGGTTTAATATCCCGTATGCGACGCGTCATCTGATATTAGAATATTCGCTGAATATTCATCGAATAAATGTGAAGCAATATTAATCCATTCGTTATGAAGTTCCAATATTGGAACATCCGATATTGTCGATATTACTTTCTCATAGTAAAAACTCGAGAATTACTGGCTGCGTATTTTTATATTTTTCTCATTTTGCTCACAGAAATGTTAACAAATTTATACTCAACGATAAAAAGTTGAGAGCACATTTTTTTTCGGTTTTGAATTTTTTTTTTCCTTGACGTGTATATCCTTTCACTGCGACGATCTCAACTTTTCGGGAAAAGAAAAGTGTCGCGAGTACGTGCGAGTGTGCAGAGAGTTTGGACAATGCATTGTACTTTATGGTACTGTTGGCACGGATTTTAACATTAAGTCGTCGCTTGTTTCCAGGACCGGCACGTGAAGGACGCCAGCAGAGATCCGCAGATGGATTCGAGCCAGGACTACCGACTCTTACTGGGTTATGAGAACAAGACGCACACAGTGCTCCGCTTCAGTAGACGATACGACACATGCGACCCGCGGGACCTGAAAATCACGGTAGGTGATGCGATTTATGCAGCTCGAAAGGTGGAGCGCAGGACAATTTCCTGCGGAGTATACACAAAAGCACGCGAGATTTACTTAGCGCGCTTATCTTACACTAGTTTCACCGAGATAAATGCGTTTATATCGTGCAGAAAAAGATTAATATGAGATTTACTTCTTTATAGACGGGATTATAGTTTCAATCAAAAAATTTACTTGCACAGGAAAGAACGATTTTGCTAAAATATCTAAAAATTTAAATACAGATCTGAAAATATAGTAATTGTGCTGGACGTTCAAGTATAATTAAAAAATGAGCAATGTTACAAGAAATTTTTACACTAGCAAAAGCTCAGGCGTCCTCCATAATTAGTTTTAATGTCCAAAATTATTTTTAAATTTTTAGTTACTTTATTCAAAAAACTTCTTTCCGTGGATGAGTTGATTTCGGACCAGTTATCTTCATTAACATAGATAGACTTAGCTTGTAACGGGATGTTTATATCCGATCTACCATTTTAATTGATAAAGGTAAATAGAATTTTGTTTACCTATTTGAAAAAGTAGATTTCTAGTCCCGGCCTTTTATTTATGCTTTTACACATTAAAACGGAAAATGTTCTCATTATTCTAATTAATACAAATGTCCGTGCATACACAAACATAATTTCCTTCTCATAAACACTTAAATGTGGAATTAGTTGAAAAAAAATTATACTCGCTAGTTTCAAAGTACGCATGTAAAAATATTAAATACAAAAGTATGGTTAATTACTGCATTTAATTACGTATATTACATTCACGGTCGTAAAAATGTTTGCGCTCTGGACCTGGACTCGAATTAAATTCGGCGGCTCGTTATCGCAATTTTCCTGCGCGATATTCCGTACTCATTGTAGGACAGCCCGACCTACTTCTTTATTTCGCCGGTAATTAACTCGGAAATAGATTGCGCGATAGAACCGTGCTCGTTGCTCGAAGGTGCTCGACACGGATTTAATAAAAAGAAAAAAAAAATTACACCAGTTGCGATCTGTTTCAAGCAACATGAAATTTATGGCGACCGACGCGGCCATGAAGACCCAAACTCTGAACTGTCTCCCGCGTTATAGCGACTAGAATTGCATTCACTAATAGCGCCATCGATACGCAATTATGTTTCTCGGTAAATCGCGACCCGCAAACTAAAGCACGCTTTTGAAAGGTTAGTTAGAAGAACTATACAACTTGCAATTGGCACTTCTCGCTTTTTTTTTTTTGCTTTCTTAGACTTGCCGAGCGCGTCTTGTAAGTTTCCAAGAAGGATAAGAAGAAGCGATAAAATTGTATTTGTGACCTATTCACTCGATGTGATTAAAGAGGGAAACGCGCAGTTTCTTGTAAAAATCGTACATCTTCAATTCTTAAGTTTGCAATCGCGTGTCTTTAACTATTAAGTGAAGCCGCAGATCTCTGAGACGGAAATTTTATTGTGTTGCGCAATTCTATCGCTTAGAGTGCTACTGCTTTTGAGATTCGCATGGATTCGTTCTAGTATGAAATCTCTTTGTACACCTGATGCTTGCAGAAAAATACAATAAAAATATTGGTTTTGTGTAACAGGTATATCGTTTGTTTTCATTATAAGGAAAATACATACAGTAACTTTTAGCATTCCAAAAAATATCTTGAACCTGTTAAAATATTGATATATCACTGATATTATTCTTCTTATTCTTAATAAAAATTCTTAATTCTTAAATTCTTAAATTTTTTCAATTGTTCGAAAAAAGATAACAAATTTAAATTAAAAGTCCATTTATCTTTTGATCTTTCGCAAAGATAGATATAGATAAATGAAAAAAAAAACGTAAGATTTAACAAAGCTCTTTTGGGACTATCCAGTACATAGTTATTATATATACGACATAAATGTGTATATTCTTTTTGTTTGATCGGCGTTTTCCCCGACTGCTTATTAGTCCCTATTATCACCACTTCGCTATCGCTTCTACGAAATCTCGCGACATGTTATCGATCACAGCACGCTTAACACACAATTGTCGAGGCTCGATTTTCCACCTGATCGTATTATTATCGCGCATCAATTTCGGGCGAGCTCGTTGCGATGCGATCTCATCGTCTGCCCGCGCGTGCATAATTCGCTGCAGCCGCATCGCTATCGAGGTTGCTGCTCGATGCCACGTGGATAAACGCCGTACGTGTTCGTAAATATTCGCTCGCGGTAAATCGAATTCCCCTGCGTTACGTAACGTCGAATTAAACGATATTTTCAGTTAACGAATTTTCAGTTAATGCCGAAGCATCGCATCTTTCAATATACCAATTACGAAATCATCTTTCTTAGTTTACGTACCATTTATTTTCATATTATAACAGAGAATAACACAGCGTAATAATTTTAAACTCACAAGATTAAGATGTCTGGATTGTTGTTTTATTATTTTTATTTTACTTTGTTATAAATACGTCTAATATTTTAAACTTTATTAATGGAAATATCTTCATCGTAAAAAAACAGACTATTATTTATTAATGATAATAAAAGAATTGTTTAAAGTAGTGGCGTTAGGATATAATAAAGCTTTATTCGTTTTGCGAACATTTGTGGATTATTTAAAAGATAATATATTATTGAAACCAGATTCTCTAGAAATTAATCCTACATATTATACATTTATTATTAAGATTATTAAATTATTAATTTTTATTATTCTTAATGTAATAATTTATATTATTACATAAATCCTTATTATTAAAAACTATTTCAAAATATAAACAATAAAAATTACTCTTTGAATTACGAGAAGCAATTCAAGATAATACAATTTTGAGACAAACAGGGTCATTGTCCAATCGCGTTGTCCAAATCGCCAATCTGTGCCAAGAAGATCTACTTCCTCACCTCGGGAACGTTCTAGGAATTCCTTGTGGTCACGATCATCTTAAGTATCGTTTCTCTCTCTAACAAGAGAGAATGAATGAAGACGATGGCGACGACAACGATCTCGTCCTCCGACGAGAATGTTCGTCTAGCGGTTGAGTCATCGAAATACTTGGCTGTGAAAATAAAAGCGGACCGCGATTCCATCGCGACGAGAAACGACCGAGTCAGCGGGACCCCTCTGAGAGTCCTTATCTGATTGTGCCACGTATCGATACCCGATATAATATTTTTGCGAGGCGTCGCTCTATCCTCGTCGGAAGATATAATCATGGGTGCAGCAGGCAAAATTGGCTGCGAGGGGATGTAATAAGATGCGCAGTCCGCAACTCTTGAGATTTTGAAAAAGCAAAAAGCGACAGAATGAATTCAAACTTAATATAAAACGCGAAAGATGATACGAATTACTTGCAGATTTTTGTTAACTGTTAAATTTTCTCATGTCATATTATACTGAATTTGAGTTATTTTTAATCACTCATAAGTTGCCACTATACTTTTATCCAACATATCGTTAACTACAACAATGTCAATTTAACTAAAACAATTTAACTTAAATTTTATTTATTATTTACTAAATACGTTAATATGGACATTTATTGTAAATTATTTTTTTCTAAACTAAACAATTCTATCACAGAAATGAATTGATTTAGATTTTGATGTACATAGAAGTAAAAAATAACAAAATGTTATTTAATTCAAGGGATTTGATTAATATTGTTCCTTTAATATCTAACAATGTTAGATAACTGAAAAAAATTTACTAAATTTTAATAAATATTTGTTTGAATAGTAAATATTTGCTTACAACAAATAAATATTTACTCAATAAAAAGAAATGATAAATGACTTTAATCAAATTGATAATTCTCTTGTATCAAATAAATGTTTACATTTAGTGAATATTTAGTTAGTACTATTCAAACAAATATTTATTAAAATTTAGCAAATTTTTCTTTAGTATATATTATTTTTTAAAATGTGGATACAGTTTCGAATATCTTGTTAAAACAAACGCACAATCTATAGTCGCGTTCATCAAATAGCAAGTAATGTTTTAAAACTAGACTATGGCGCTCTCAATATAATGGTCGTTAAATTGTGCTGTGCAGGACAGAATTACGTGGAAAATATCCTCGTGTTTGAACCTTTCGATTGGAATACCATATTTTTCCACGCCGATATTTCCCTGCGATCTTCATCGACGTAACAGAATACGAAGATGGATGCTTACTTTTTCGACGAGATATACACGGCGACATGTTTGTTCCAGAAATACGTTCGCGAAATGTAGTGTCGTGCCGATGTTATCAAGAATCCCGTCCCGTTTGTGTCATCGATAGAAATCAAATATTGAGATCGCCTCAGGGAGTTATTACTTCTCGAGTTTCGTCTCTGCGCTCATACTTTATCGCGACGCTTATCTCGAGTTTCTCGATCCGAATTTAGGAACCGGAGATTTCCACGATCGTATGTAAGTCGGCAATTTTTCCGGATCTCCAATTGCACCGCCAAGTATGCGAACGGTGAACTTTCTACGTCGTTCATTCGTCGAACGTATTGCTTTTAAACGTGATCATAGCGCCGCTAGAAAATAAGATTTTACAAAACGCAGTTTAATGTGTGCTCGCCAGTTTGAAATGAATAAGTCAATATTTAAATACGATATTTGAAATTAAAAAATAGATATTATTTAATATTAACAGGTAAACTTTTTTGTTAACAATTTAAATATGTTTGTAGAATGAAACCATTAAATGTTTTAAAGAGCATGACGTTACTCTAAATTTCTTGAAGTGAAATTTCACTTCAAAAAATACTGCCACTATTGAAAAAAAGTGAAAAATTTACATTCTTGAATAAGAGTGGCAGATTTTTACTCTTTTTTCTTTCAATATGAAATTTATTCCAAAAAAGAGGAGTGAGATTTCTTTTCTTCGGAATGAATCTCACTCCAAAAAAAAGTGAAAATCTGCCACTCTTATTTAAGAATGCAAATTTTTCATTAGTGGCAGTATTTTAACTATTTAGTTTGGAGTGAGATTTCACTCCAAGAAATTTAGAA